TTACTTCTCTATATGTATATACACAACAAATGAGCTGTTTATTTTGAAAGTGGCATAAGTTGATGTTGTTGTAACAGCATACAAACTCCCCAAGGAGTTTTTGGGGAGTGTTGCTGGAGTGACAGTCCTTGGCCAGATATAAATCTCGGTCGTTGCGGTTATGTAGGCCCGACTGTCGTGGGACAATTTTAGTGGCAATATAGTTTAGCTTTTAAATTCAATAATATAACAATTCTACTAGGAGTTGGTTTCCTTTCGTACAAATATTGTGTGCATAATTTCAAATGCATATTTTTGCAAAGATTTTACAATTCGATATTCAAATATTCACGAATAAAAGGTTGCATGTACTTACATACAAACAAGTGCAATCAATGTGCATACATATGTACTACATTTATTGTACACATTGTAAAGACCGACATTTATGTGTTGGTGTTGGTTCATTTTTCCGACAGGGTGGTAAGATGATTTATTTTGGAACGAATTTTCCGTCCGTTCTCAGGAGAACGAAAAATGACACTGAAGATGGCACAACGCCGAAACCGGTTTGTCTGCAAATCAAACTTGACAAGGGATGACGGAAATTCGTTCCAAAATAAATCACCAACATTTATCTTCAATTCCTTGCATTTGAAGCACGAGTGCAAAATCAACTTTCAAAAACACGCACAAGCCCGCACGTTAAGAATTTTAGTGGGGCCCGGCCCGGCCCGGCACGACGGGACACGGCCCAGCCCGGAAATAAAGAGCCAACATTTATTGTAGATTTTTATAATATATTTTCTGGGAAGTAGAAAAAGTGGAAGATATTTTATGTACAGATATGTATGTAAACAAAACTACTAAGTATCATATATTTTCTATCGGTTTCCAAATATTTCTTTTTTTGCTTTTCTCTTATCAAAAGAGTTTTAAATATGTACTATTTTTTTTGTATAAAAACAAAAGCTCATCTAAATTTTTAGTATTAGCAACGGGATTTTTCGTGCTTTTATGAAATTTTACTGAATGCCCAGGCCCGCACGAGTTCGTGCTGACAGCAAATATTCCGGCCTGTACCCGCGGCCCATCTCTAATTTGAAGCATGTAGGTCTATACATACATATGTATGGATGTATCCTGGTTATTTACAAAGCGAAATGAAAAACAAAAAAGGCGTTCGTCGTAAAAACCTTGACTACTTACTGAAACAGTAAACAGTTTTACGTGTAAGAAATAAGTAATTACATAATAATAGAGGTAACATAAAACCGTGATGAGCGCAAACTGAAAATTTATGCATCGGGAACAATATCGCCTGTATCCGTAAGCCATTGAGCTCCAGGTAAAATTGCAAGTTTTTTTTTTTAATTATCAAAAAGAAACATGAAATATTTTGAATTTCTCTTGAATTTCCTTCTTATGCATGATGCAATTAATGTGTTCCCATATTGGCATGACAAAAACAAATGTTCGCATTCAGTAATTTAAAAACTTCAATTAGTATAATCCGGTTCAACCTTCCACAACTTCCTTAGTGGATCAGAAATCGGTGGTAGTAGGGAGTTATCCCTACACTAATTTGTTGTAGTTTTTCGACCCCGCCACTTACACTAACTTATTCACATGTATGATATCTACTTATTTATTATTAAATTATTTAGTCCGATGCAGTACACCACGATCACCGAAGGAATTGTCAGCATAATATTACTTGGATTGAAACGAAAGGAAGCGAGATCTTTAAAAATCAATTTGGTTTGAAAACGTAACAACATCCCATTATACCGTTACCACAAAATCCATCGGTGAACATAAATGACGTGGCCAACAAAATTGTCGATATTTGCAATCATCATGATCAGCAGTAGGTAACCTGTAATATTCCTTACCAATATTTTTCATTCAAATTCCTCATTTCTTACAGAAGAAAGGAGCGTATTTAAGGCCGAACTTCCTTTATGTAAGCTGCAATCCACAGACGTTGCCCAATTCAAAAACTACTTTGACTGGCTTGCTATCATTAGCAAAGCAAATCTCGCGGAGTAAATTTAACTCATCCACAACATCCTTGTTCACAAGCATACTACTAATTAAAGCTATAGAAAACTGCCTTAACTCGTCGGGCCCCCGATTACTAAAGCTACGTTTTATATTCAAACTTTCTTGGCATTTCATTACAACAACAAAAATAATAAAAAGTGCCATCTAATAAGAAGAGTGACGTGTGGTTGCACTTCTAGGAAGAGAAGGTTAAGTGTAAGTTGTGTGGTCAGCAGTTGTCGGTGTCAAATAAATAAAAATGCGGTCTTATTCGTCACATGAACAGATGACACCAGTTCCAGAGAATCTCTAGACAGGCGCAATCTATAGAAGAAGTACTTCTTGACATCGAAGGCAGTGAGCTCTAGTTGCACAAGCAGGATTGAAGGAAATAGAACCTGTTTTATGTAAAGTCAAATCAATTGTTAGGTTTTTTCAAAGAGTAGTCATGCTCATTCAAAACTTAAAGCTACGTTAGAATCAATGCACCAACCAGTTTTAAAGCTCTTCAACGATGTACCTACACGGTCGAATTCCACTTATGAGATGTACAAAAGATTTTTAGTTCTTAAGGATGCAGTTATTACCACTTTAGCTTTGGTAAAATCGTCTATGCCAGTCAGAGACGAAGAATTACGTACAATCAATCTTTTAACTAGCGAGGATTGGTTAGTAGCAGAGCAATCTATGAAGATTATGGATATGTTTGAAATTATTACTACTTTAATAAGTGTCGGCCGCTGTGGTGTAGTGGTAAGCAGTGCGCGCTTCCACTCCACAATGCCTGGGTTCAAACCCTGGTCAAAGCAACATCGCAAAAATATAGAAAAAAGGTTTTTTCTTAACAGCGGTCGTCCCTCGGCAGGCAATGGCAAACCCCCGAGTGTATTTCTGCCATGAAAAACAGCTTCTCATAAAAATACAATCGCCGTTCGGAGTCGGCGTAAAACTGTAGGTCCCTCCGCTTTGTGTGACAACATCAAGGCGCACGCCACAAATCGGAGCAGAAGCTCGGCCAAACACTAACATATGTGTAAGCGCCAATCTATTATTATCATTATTATTATTATTAATAAGTGTCGAAAAGCATATTAGTGCATCATCATTAATCTATATACATATATATAATAATAGCCGTTTTGGTTGTTCGGAGTTAACTCAAAAACTACTGCATAGATTTCAGTCAAATTTTCAGCATATATGGTCCTATTATAGGCTACCAGAAAACTCGCTAGGTGGCGCTGGGGTCGAGTTATTTTTAAAAGTCGTATTTATGAACCGATTTCGTTCAAATTCAAAACGTGTACTACCTCCATGATGAGAAATACGTATGCAAAAAATATACCCGCTAGGTGGCGCTGGGGTTTCTTTCTTTGAGGATTCTTTGCCCTCCTATAACTGAAAACGCTCATATGTAGTCTTTATTTTCCTTATAAGGACTTTTATTGGATTACATGGTACATCGGACCAATGTTGAAGTTGCAAGGTCATAGAAGAATATTACGCACGCTTGGCAGAGATCTCACAGGTGGAAATAAGACCGCATATAAAACGCAATACATCGAAAGGGATTAATATTCCATATGATATCACAGCGCTACTCTTCTTAGCCTATGTATTAGGATTCTGCTCTTTATTCGTTTCAATTTAAACTAAAAATGTTAGCTTTACAGACCGCTTTTGCTTTTTAACGCTCTTTTTGTATTGGCCAACGCAAAAGATCTTATTAGGCGCCGCGAAACAAGCGGGCATTGGCTAGTATTGTATATAAAACAATCAACCAAGCATTTGAAATCCTTTAATATTGCGGAACTAACTCCCTCTGTAGAAAAGCTATTAACTAGACTATTAAGTGAATTGAATGAAAGGTTTGAAGATATTGAACTAAATGAATTGCGCAAGCAACAATTTTGGATCCAAGATTCAAAAAATTTGGATTCATGAACGAAACGGCTTATATTTCGAATATTCAAAAATTAGATTCGAGAGTAGCTAACACAGTTGTTCAAAATTGCGAAAATTTTGTTAGGGATGAAAATCCCGTTCAATGCAATTCGGTTGTAGGCGGGATAAATAGCGATCGATTAGAACTAATATGGAAGGATTTTGACGCTGAAGTTCAGAAGCACACTAGGCCAGGAAATCAGATAGCATCTGCAATTGTAGAAGTGGATAAATACTTGTCAGAGCCTGTCTTACAGCGGAAAGATTCTTCCGGAAAGCATAACGATCCACTGTTGTGGTGGCACCAAAGAAGACATATTTATCCCCGATTGTACCAGCTTGTCAAAAAACGACTGTGTATTTCCGCAACATCTGTTCCTTGTGAACGTATATTTTCGCACGCTGGACAACTTGTTAGCGAAAAACGAGAGAGCCTGAAAGCAAGTAAAGTATCTCAAATTGTTTTTTTTTTAAGTATAATTTAGGTAACAATGATTTTTAAACAACTTCCTGAACTCTTTTTAAACTGAATTTAATTCATGATCTCTAAAGTATATGTATAAGCGAAATTAATTGAATGTACACTAAAAAAGCACACAAATGCAAAATGAATTTAATTCATGATCTCTAAATTATATGTATAAGCGAATGTGCTAAAAACTAAATAAATTCTGTGGTTTAAAAAATAAAAATATCTTCGTTGCATGTATTTGGGTTTTAAAAGGACAGAAAGCAAATATTTTTAATTGCTTTATTTCTTTATTATTTATTATTCCTCTTATTTATATTTCCTTTGTAGATGTTTTCGATATATATTAAAAGTTATTGATATATATTAAAAGTTAAAAATGAATTATTAAGGTTTACAAAAATTTAGGTTTCTTACAACTATGCAAAATTTCATGACTTCTCTGCTTACATATATGTGTTTTCAAAAGATCCAATATTTTTATAAAAAAGTAAAGCGATTTCAACGACATTATAATCAAAAGAAAGGTAATCGATTTACGCTTCTTTTGATATATATTAAAAGTTAAAAATTAATTATTAAGGTTTACAAAAATTTAGGTTTCTTTCAACCTTGCCAAATATGATAAACTTTTTCTGCTTTTATGTATATGTATAGGTAAATACATAAACATACATCCATACACTACTATTGACTACTAAACTAGAATATTTAAAACTAGTTAATTAACCTTGATATCCTAATCGCTGTATAGCTGTATGTATAGGTCATCGTAGGCGTAGATAAAGTCTAGCTGATGAGACAGATATCTGGCGGACTCAAGAAGTCGATTGAATTCACGTTCTACCTGAAAAACAATAATATTTATAAAATAAACTATACTTATTACGTATTATTTCTGCTCACCATATCGTCCTTATGCTTGGGCACAGGTTTTCCACAAGCTCCATATAGCGGACATGCTAGCCTAACCTGCACTATCTCCATTCCAATTTGTTTGCTTAGTATAGTCATTGGATTGCCCCAAACATCTGTTATTCAGTGATCGGACTTAAAAATAAATTTGTGTGGTAGAATCTGGAAAAAATGTGGTAGATTTCAAAAAAATGTGGTAGATCCCAGGTTTTGGATCAAACTTGGTACAAAAATTGAAAATATTCTGCAAGGTTTCACCTAAATTGCAAACATTTTAATTAGAATCTAAAAAAAATTAATTATAGTATATCAAAGTGCAAGATTGAAGTTGCTAAAAATTGCGTTGAGTTTTAGCAATTTGTTTCCTTGACGGTTTAAAGCAGTTCCTTCCATATCAAGATATTTTTCGAACATATTTCGAAAGTTGATTGAGGATACAGCTTTCATAGAAAGAAATATTATAGATGGAGACAACTTTGAAAAAGAAATTGTAAGTAAAAGTCGCAATATATTTAAATTAAACCATTTTTATTTACTATATATTTATTATTTCATTTTTATTTGCTTGCAGAAAATATATTTACAATCAATCTTATTGTGCAAAATTTCGAAACATTTTTCAACAGTAATTTCGGACGAGCTGCTACAAAAGGTCAATTGGAACGGAAGTAAGAATCTCGTGGCCCTAGAAAGCTACAATTTTTTTTCCCGCACATTATACGGTATGTTGATTTTAATTATTAATATTATGTACTACATTATTATTTATTATTATTACTATTCCCATTCTCCCCATACTATTCCCATATAAAGTATGCACCGTCAGCAAAAAAAGAATATTAAAAATCAAAGCGATTTTCTAGCTTTTTAAAATTTCGACTTTAACCTACTGAAATTTAATGGGCTGTAAAACTGCACGTTTAAAATTTTCCTAAAGATTCTTAATATGGTTAAAAATTTTTGGGGTGTAATTGCTTAATTCTTTTGAATTTGTATAATTTTTGTAAGAAGTTTGAAATGTTAATTTATGTGGTGACTTTTATAAAAAAATTATAAACATCAAATAAATAAAAAAAAACAAAACTGACCAAAATGTTACTTAAAATTAATCAGCTGACCACAAGTGTATATTGTTATATATATTTTTATATATATACTATATATATATATTAGTAATTAATTTTCTATTATAATGCTTATATTAATATCATAATATTATATTAATTTTATAATGCTTATATTAATATATTATAATGCTAATCCGTTTTTTCAATAGATACCGTTAAAAATATGTACAATAGCTATGAGGACTATACAAGTGATGTAAAAATGGCCATTGCAAGAGGAAAAAATCGAATAGATCAAAGGCGTCACATCCAAAAGTAAAAAGTTAATGAGACTACAAAAGACAGTACGTCATATTGATTAACTTTTATTTTCATATAAGTTATTTTTAATTTTTTATTTTTAATAAAAGTTAAGTTCTTCCTACAACAAAACCCATAAAAACAGAATCATATAGAAAGCAGCTTTGCACTTTAATTGAGTACGCAGTTTTGTAGATCATGGAATAGTATATTAAAGCGCAAAACTGCTTTCTTTTAAATATCTGCATAGAGTTTCGAGCTCTGACTTTTATGGGTTTTTTTATAGGAAGAACTATATTTTTATAAAAACTATGCAAAACATAATTACTCGAGAAATGTTACTTAAAATTAATCAGCTGACCACAAGTGTATATTGTTATATATATTATTATATATATACTATATATATATATTAGTGATTAATTTTCTATTATAATGCTTATATTAATATCATAATATTATATTAATTTTATAATGCTTATAGCAATATATTATAATGCTAATCCATTTTTTCAATAGATACCGTTAAAAATATGTACAATAGCTATGAGGACTATACCTACAAGTGATGTAAAAATGGCCATTGCAAGAGGAAAAAATCGAATAGATCAAAGGCGTCACATCCAAAAGAAAAAAGTTAATGAGACTACAAAAGACTGTACGTCACATTGATTAACTTTTATTTTCATTTAAGTTATTTTTAATTTTTTATTTTTAATAAAAGTTAAGTTCTTCCTACAACAAAACCCATAAAAGCAGAAAAAAATAGAAAGCAGCTTTGCACTTTAATTGAGTACGCAGTTTTGTAGATCAGGGAATAGTATATTAAAGCGCAAAACTGCTTTCTTTTAAATATCTGCATAGAGTTTCGAGCTCTGACTTTTATGGGTTTTTTTATAGGAAGAACTATATTTTTATAAAAACTATGCAAAACATAATTACTCGAGAAATTTCGGAATAATAGAATCAATCATTGTCCCGTTTTTTTGGCGGCAATGTATATTAGTATATAAGTATTACAAGAAAAGCCAAGTTGTGTTCAAAGAATGTTCTTTCCAAAAACGAAACAAAACATTTTAAATGCGAGGTCATTGATGTAAAATATATTAGGACGTATGTAAGTATTTCCAGTATTTACTTTCAAAAGCATATGTATTTTTTTGTAAGTCTTGACTTAAAATCTTTTTTAAACTAATTTTAGAAGTTCTTCGGGAAAAAAACATTTTAAATGTGAATTCATTGATGTAATCTAGACTAGTATGTGCAGTGGTCGAAAAAATTATAGCCGCACCACATATTGACAAATTGTAACAATTTATTTTTGTTATTTAATTTCAGTTACGTTCGGTTAAGTTCAGTTTTATGAAATAAAGAAATATATGTTAATAAAAAGTAACTGAAATTAAACAACAAAAAATAAATTGTTAAAATTTTTTAATGCAGTGAGTGTCAGTCAAAATCGTAGAGCAGTTTTTTCCATATTTTGAAAATGTTTTGTTTTATTCATATTTTATTAATATTTAATAAAATTATAGTTCATGTTACAACAAAATTTCTAAAACTAAAAGTTTCTAACTGTGACAATTAAAAAAAATCTTAAAATTTTCATAAAAATTCCACACTTTTTATTTCGAATTTTTAGATCTTTAAATCTCTTATTAATTACACTCTTTTTTAATATAAAAATGTACATATGGATTTAGTGAATTTATTTGTCAATAAAATAAAAAATATATATAAAAAACTGTCTGTATAAAATGTTTCTAATTATTAAAAGTATATAAGCGGACAATAATAGGGTAAGGCTTATAATAAGGTAATGGTAGTCAATATTTTATCTTATTATTAGGCCTTATGTAAGAGTAGAGGATAAGGCTTATAATAAGGTAACAATGTTCTATATAATGTCTTATCATAAGGCATTATGTAAGCCTTATTTCGAGTAGGGAATAAGGCTTATAATAAGGTAATAATATTCTGTATAATGCTTTTTATAAGGATAAGCCTTATTTTGCACAGCAAATAATCCTTATGCATAAGAGTGGCTCTATGAGAGAGACATCAGTACAGCAAAATCAGACGTAAAATAAGGGATGTGCCATAGAACTTGTATTCCTTACAATTTTCATGCATTAAAGGTTAAGACTTACGATCATATTAAATAAGACTTATATAAGGCGCAAATTTTTTGGTGGGTGTTCGTTCATACATATACATACATGTAGGTACATATATACATATGTATACACGCACCCTAGTTTTGTATCGATTCGAACAATTTGATACAATCAAGCACTTGTACCTCACACAAATCATGCATGCATGTACGTACATGCACACGCAACACACTTTAGTATCTATTCGAAAAACAGCTTCGTTACCGCACAATATGTTGTGTTGTATTGATTCCCGATGATGGTGCATATACGTAACATTCGAGTAACGAGATTATTATGTGGGTAACGATTCGTTACTTCGATTCAGAGGTTGTATTCGTTACTCACTAACGAAAACAATTAGTGTGTGTGCAGTGACCTACCTATGGTTATGTATTTCGACCCGCAGAATCCGAATTTGAAGTCAGTTTGGCCAATGTACCTCTTAGATTTGGAGAAAGCTTCAAAAAACCATAAAAAATTGCGAAAGTCGGCAACAAAACTGTTTATAGAAGTTTTCTCGAAATCTAGGAGGTATATTGGCCAAACTGACTTCAAATTCGGATTCTGCGGGCCGAAATACATAACCATAGGTCTTCCCTTCTTCTTTATTGGCGCTGTAACCGCCTAAGCGATTTTGGCCGAGTCCAATACAGCACGCCAGTCATTTCTCTTCTGTGCTAACTGACGCCAATTGAAAATGCCAAGTGAAGCCAAGTTCTTCCCCACCTGGTCTTTCCAACGCAGAGGAGGCCCTCCTCTTCCTCTGTTACCAGCATCGTGGCCCGCGTTGAATATTTTCAGAGCAGGAGCGTTTCTGTCCATTCGAACGACATGGCCAAGCCAGCGGAGCCGCTGAATTTTAATTCGCTGCACTATGTCTATATCGTTGTAAAGCTCATACAGCTCATCGTTAAATCGTCTGCGATATTCGCCATCACCAACGCGTAAAGGTCCGTAAATCTTTTGCAGAATCTTTCTCTCGACAACTCCAAGAGCCGCCTCATCAGATGCTTTAATTGTCCATGCCTCCGCGCCATACACCAGCACAGGCATGATGAGTGACTTATAGAGTGTGATCTTTGTACGACGAGAGAGGACTTTACTTCTCAATTGCCTACTCAGCCCAAAGTAGCACTTGTTGGCAAGAGTGATTCTCCGTTGGATTTCAAGGCTGATATTATTATTGGTGTTAATGCTGGTTCCCAAATAAACGAAGTCGTCTACTTTTTCAAAATTGTAACTGTCAACAGTGACGTGGGTGCCAAGACGCGTATGCTCTGACTGTTTGTGTGATGACAGGAGATACTTCGTTTTGTCCTCGTTCACCACCAGATTCATTCGCTTTGCTTCTCTATCCAATCCCGAGAAGGCATTCAACAGCGGACTCTCGTGTAAAGTATTGTGCCTGAGCGGTTCAGTTCTGCGGCTTTTATTATCTTCTCCAACATCAGATTAAAGAAATCACATGAAAGGGAGTCCCCTTGTCCGAAACCTCGCTTGGTATCAAACGGCTCGGAGAGGTCCTTCCCTATTCTGACGGAGCTGGTGTTATTGCTCAACGTCATTTTACACAGCCGTATTAGTTTCGCGGGGATACCAAATTCAGACATCGCGGCATAAAGGCAACTTC